TACGGTGGAGCGGAAGACGAGCTCGTTGTAAAGGATTACACCGATGCTAGCTTTCAGTCACACTCGGATGACTACAGATCGTAGTCTGGCTATGTTTTCTGCTTGAACGGAGGCGTTGCTAGCTGGAAGAGTTCCAAGCAAGCGACCGTTGCAGATTCTACTACAGAAGCTGAGTATATTGCAGTGTCGGACGCAGCAAAGGAAGCTGTTTGGATCAGGAAGTTTGTTGGTGACTTGGCTGTCATTCCTAGTGCTAATAGCCCCATTGCTCTGTATTGTGACAACAATGGAGCGATCGCACAAACGAAAGAACCCAGATCCCATCAACGATCCAAACACATACTCAGACGATTTCACCTTATCAGGGAGATCATAGACAGAGGAGACGTGCACATTTGCAGAGTGTCAACAGATGACAACATTGTCGATCCATTGACGAAGCCTCTCCCTTCGTCGAAGCATGAGAGTCATGTTAGGGATATGTGCATTAGATGTTTAGCAGTCCATGATTAGAGCAAGTGAGAGATTGTTGGTTTAGTGCTCTATGATGTACTGTTTTGCGAGCTTTATTTTGATACATTTGATGTATTGACACTTTCTATAGTTTATGGATGAGTGTTTTATTGATTACATGTTGTGCATACTTAATATGTTATGAAATCCATGTATTGTTATGAACAATATTAAACTCCCTAGTCATATGTCATTATGAGAATAATGATATACTAAGACTAGTATGATGTGTGATTGATGATCATAGGTATTGGATACGATCACAACCATAGGTATTCGTTGGAGAACGGAATACTGGATTGACCCGCATGAGATTGTCACATGGACTAGCGTCATGACTTGAATCTCATATGATGGTTCCATAATTGGATCCTAAGACCTGAGATATCTACGGAATCCAACATGAGGAGTTGCGTACTTTGAATACATGAAACGTCCTGCGTAACAGGAGGACTATAAAGGCGTGTATCAGGTACGAAACGAATCATGTGCTGGATTGTAGATAGGAAAGACGAGATTTGTACCTCTCGTAAAAGAGAGAGATATCGCTGGGCCCCTCGTGTGAGCGAGACTGTAGAAATGTCTGGTCGCACTATAGACGAACGTCGTCTCTTTCACACAGTCAAACTCAGTGAACGAGAAATCAGTCGAATCAGATAAGGTGGCTTGTCCATGCCTTATGTTCGACATATGATATCGTGATACAAAAGGATCATCAACCAGAATCATCACAGATGTTCGTAAGATCACGAACAAACTCTATTCGAGATAGGTAGTCATAGTGTCTTGCTAGAGACCGCCTATGACTTGTATAACCAAAATGGAGATTTTGGGTTATACTGCTATATCGGATGAGCCTACAGGGTCACACACACAGAAAAAGACAAACGCGTGAGAAAAGACGAGAATTTTCCGGTGGAGCGGAGGCCAGACCGACCGGTCCAGAAGGTCTGGACCGATCGGTCCAGATGTCGGGATTTTCTTATCTCACTCAAATTAGGGTTTTAAGGGTAAAGAACTTTGGGGAACGCATCTTAAGCTCTTTAGCACGACTTTCAGACTCTTTTGAGAGGTTTTGAGAGAGAAAAACCTAAGAGATTAATCTCTGAAGCCCTTGCGCAAAGAAGAAAGCGTTCTTCAGTCCTAGCAGACGAGTTCCAACCGTTGGAATCCTTTCCGCCATGTGGATATGTGTAGAGGGCGAGGTATTCTTCCTGCCTACAGTGATTGGACGAACACATCAATTGATACAGGTTCCGGATCGATTAAGGTAAGCGTTCTAACGTTTCTACAAGATCATGCATGATAGGTTTTAGGGTTTTATAAAAAAATTTTTTACATCCGCTGCGCAAACCCTAGAACCGATCTCTTAGGAATTAGATTCGCTCTAGAGATCCCAAAAATCCCAACAAGAGAAAACAGAAAAACAAATCTCAAAACGCACTGATTTCTAAAAGACAGATTATCACATAATCGCAGAGAGATAGAGACGAAAAGATCTGGTCCAACCAGCAAAAGGATCGAGAGAATATGTAAATAGACATGGCCGTAGTTATCGTTAATTATCTAGTCGCATTTGCATTATGTTTGTAGTGTAATCACGGTCATAGTTATTGTTAATTATCTAGTCGTACTTACATTATATTCGTAGTATAATCACGGTCGTAGTTATCTGGTCGTAGTGAAATCACGGTCGTAGTTAACGTTAATTATATGGTCGTATTTACATTATGTTCATAGTGAAATCACTGTCGTAGTTAATATTAATTATATGATCGTATTTGTATTATGTCGTAGTGAAATCACGGTCGTAGTTAACATTAATTATATGGTCGTATTTACATTATGTTCATAGTGAAATCACGGTCGTAGTTAATATTAATTATATGATCGTATTTGTATTATGTTCGTAGTGAAATCACGGTCGTAGTTAACGTTAATTATATAATCGTATTTTCATTATGTTCGTAGTGAAATTACGGTCATAGTTAACGTTAATTATATGTTGTACTTGCATTATGTTTGTAGTGACCTACCGTAGACTGTAGGTGATCTGCCGCATGCCGCAGGTGCAGCAGACCACAGGTGCTGCAGGTGACCTGCCGTAGGCCGCAGGTGACTTACCGCAGGTCGCAGGTCATCTGCCGCATATCACAAGTCATTTATCGTAGGTCATCTGCCAGACCGTAGGTCATTTACCGCAGACCGTAGGTCATTTTCCACATACCGCATATCATCTGCCACAGTTTTCTTTTACAGACATTTAATCAAATAACTTGTGTGCATACAAAAAAATAATCAGAATATCACAGAAAAAAATCAACCACAAGAGTATTTGAATAGATTAGATATACTGGAAGAAATAGAGGAGATACAAAAAATGTTGGAGATAAAAGAAGATCAAATAGGAAAATGTACTGATTTCTAAAAGATAGATTATCACATAATCGTAAAGAAATATTGTAAAAAATATTTTGAGTATTTAAAAAAAATATAGTATGCAAAAATTATTTTTGTAAGATATTTTGTAAATTTCGGTTTTTTAAAAAATTTTAACAATTGCCTTTTATTTTTTTTTGTCATTATTAAATTTCCAACAACAAAAAAAGGAACTACAGGAAGAAAATTCAGAAGGGACGTCTCTTCACATGGTGGAATGAAACACAGCAGACAAGAAGAATTCACAGCTCTGTGCTCTTTTGCTGTTTTGTCTCTTCCATTCTGTCCTGCAAATTTTGATCGGAGAAATCATTTTCTTCAACCCCTGTTTGTTTCCCGGGAAAATCCTATGTTTCCTCGGAAAAAAACTCCGTTTAATTTCGGATATTGCCTGACATATTTGTGTTCTTCCAAATTGTGTTTAATCTCCCAAGGAAGATTCCATTGCTTGTTTCCCTTTAGAAAAACTTTCCTTTTGTAAATGTCCTGTTTCTTCTTTTTTTTTTTTCTGAGCATCTCTCTTTAGTCACACGTATAGCATAAAAATCAAAACCCCTAATTCGTTTTCCTTCGAAAATTTAATCCCCTTTTCTCATTTCCATTTCATCTGTAAAAGTTTCATCCTTGTCTGTTCTTTCTCTCACGTTCACCCCGTTTGTTTCCCGGGAAAATCATTACCATCTGCAAGAAAAACTCATATTTTCCCCGGGAAAATCTCCCGTTTTCTCCATAAAGTTTCCTCCTTGATTGTTCTTTCTATCGCGTTCACCCTGTTTGTTTCCCGGGAAACACAGCCCTTCTGCATAGAAAATCTCTTTTTTTTTTCTCGGGAAAATTCCAGTTTTCAAACCATGAGGAGTCTTGCGGCATGTTACAGCGAACACGCCATTAAAGTATCGGATTCATACTGTTCTGGTCCTTCAAATCATTCGTACCTTTCTCCAACCTTACCTCCTTCGATTCCAGAATCAGTAACAACAACATACAAATCATATCTTCCTTCTTCCGACAAAAACATCTCGTTCTCTCTCACATGGTCGGAAAATCTCGCCGTCGTCATCTCATCATCTCCGAATTCGAAATCATACTCTGTAATCCTCAGAAAACCAAAAGGGTACAAAAAGCTAACACCTTTCGACGCATTAAACATCGAAATAACGTGGGATCTGTCGCGGGCGAAGTACGAGAACGGACCCGAACCAATCGGAGGTTTCTCTGTCACCGTCACAGTGAATTCCGAAACTGCCCTCCAAATCGGCGACCAAGAAGAAAGTCTCCGACATGACTCGAGAACAACAACAAGCCCGTCTTGGCGGGTTTCAAGAACTGAGAGATTCGCAGGGATTTGTTGGATCTCGACGAAGGCTCAATTCTCCGACACCGGAAACCCCCACGAGATTCTGATACAATGCGGCGGCTACGGCGGCCCCGGTGCCGGTAGAGGAGGAGATGAAGGGTATTTTTGGAAATTAAAGAGTCCTGAGACGATGTCGGTTTGTGTGGACCAGAGGAGGGTGTTCCATGTGAAGAAGCTGAGATGGAATTTCAGAGGGAATCAGACAATTTTCTTGGACGGATTGTTGATCGACATGATGTGGGATCTTCACGACTGGTTCTTCAGGGAGACGACGTCGTTTCAGAGCG